AGGTGTCTTGTTGATTCTAAGATGGACAAGAGTGATGTAGACGATGTTGTACTGGTTGGTGGTTCTTCTAGGATTCCCAAAGTACAGCAGCTATTGCAAGACTACTTCAAGGGGAAAGAACTGTGCACGAGCATCAACCCTGACGAGGCTGTTGCCTATGGAGCAGCAGTTCAGGCTGCTTTGCTGACTGAAGGCAACAAATTTGTCCCCAACTTAGTGCTATTAGATGTTACGCCGCTGTCACTCGGTATATGTCTAGAAGGAGATCTCATGAGTGTCCTGATTCCTAGGAACACCACCATTCCTGTTGTAAAAAAGGAAGAATATAAAACAGTCAAAGATTTCCAATCTGCTATCTGTATTGAGGTTCACGAGGGTGAAAGGACAAGAGCAAGCGATAACAATTTGCTTGGTTTCTTTAATCTTAATGGCAATCCTAATGCTCTTCGAGGCCATCCTGTAACCGTATGTTTCAGTATAGATGCTGATGGTATCCTAACTGTAATTGCTGAGGATGAAACCATTGGAAGTAGGAATTGGATTACCGTAACCAACGAAAACGGAAAACTATCAACTCAACAAATTATGAGAATGATTCAAGAAGGCGAGAAATACAAGGCTGAAGACCAGAAGTACGAAAAGAAAGTTAAAGCAATTAATGCTTTGGATGACTTCGTTTACAAGATAAGGAATGCTATAGATGATGTAGATAATCCACAAGAGAAAACGAAGATCAACAAGGCAATTGCAGAGACCGAGAAATTGCTTGATGCTAGGGAGCAGACAGAAACAGAGGTTTTTGTGGATCATCTGCACAGGGTGAAGAGCCTCATTGAACCCATTATGAAAGATTAACTAGTTTGTTTCAAGTTTATGTTGGTGAAAAATGTAAAACTTTATGAAGGATGCTATCTAAACAATATATTATTTCCAGTTTCAACTATCAATCCTTGAACACGTTTTTCTTCTACATCTTGTTAATGTGAAGGTGGATATGCCTATAATTATGTGGGGTATACATTTCTTCAATATGGGTAATTGTTTTTAGACTGTTAACATAGGTCGGCCTAAAATGCAGTGTGGATTTTATGGCCTGGTGGAAAAATACAAACAACCAATAACATCAGTAGGCAGATAATTTGTTTCTTTACTTTTCTTTATACAAACAAAAACAACCAATAAGATCAGTAACAAGACTATGAAAACCTTATTAAAAGATTTAAAACCTCTTCTTTACTGTGGTTTGATAGATTGGCTCGAGTTTGCAAAACGATCTTCATCAAACACAGTTCTTATATATATATATATATATATATATATATATATATATATTGCTAGAAAATGATATTTGGACACTGTACAACGAATTGTTTATATAACTTAACAGTGAATTTTGAAACGAGATATTTTTAAATTATAAATAATTTGTAAAATTATTGTACTGGTGAATCTCACGGGTTAACAAATCGAAAGAGTTGAGAATAGACTTTTATTTTTCTTAAGACAAAGCAGTACATCAGGGTGAGCCAATTCAAAAGCAGAATGCTCTCAAGTGAGACACAATAACAATATATCAAGCTGTGTCAAGATAACATTAAACTAACCATTGATGTTCAATGTCTGACCAAAGAGACTCTCGAGTTCCTTCAGATAATCCTCAAATACATCTACTTCAACCTGCTGGTTATCATCAAGCAAATATGTGGCCTTAGTAATTGCAGAACTGATGTTCAACTTTTGTGTCAAGGAAAGCTTTGATCTGTTATACTTGTCCTTCAAAGCATTCGTCATCTTGTAAACATAATCATCCAAAGAATTTATGTAACAGTTTCCATAAATTAACTTCAGTCATGACTGATATTATTTTATTTTTTGTTGATCTTATTACTTTTCGAAAGTAGTTGTAAAATAAATTATCCAAATATATAGTTCCCAATTAAGGTTTTGTCTCTTCAACAAAGTTTGCTTCATATAGTAAAAAATCAAACTCGCATAGAAAAAACTTAACAATCTATTAACTATGTTGAAATTTGAGTTTGAACATAATGACAAATATTATTTTCATCCCTTACGTTTCTAGTCATTTCTGTTTTGTTTAAATCCTTAAAGTAATTAAGTTGTTTATTTGGCTCCTGTAAAATGTTTTCTTTATTTTTTATTTTATAGAATAATGCAATTAATGCTTTGGATGACTTCGATTACAAGTTAAGGAATGTTATAATCCACAAGAGAAACCGAAGATCAACATGGCAATTGCAGGAAATTGCTTGATGTTAGCCAGCAGACAGACTCTTGGAACAATTTTCCAAGAAAACAATGTAGACTTGATATAATCTTTTAGACGTGAATACACACTTTCCTAAAAGCAATATTTCGTCCTTTATAAGAGTGAAGGGAATCACGAAATCCGCTTTTGAGATAAAAAGAAGAAATATAACGAAGATACTCACTCTTAGTATTAATGTTAAACAAGAATAAAATTCTCACCAATTGTTGTGTATTAAGTGAATGACAGAATGTAAAGAAAAGTCTCATTTTATCTGTGTACATCAATAGAGCACAGAATCCCTTTATATAAATGTTGATTAGGCGGCATCTTTCAAATCCAAGAGATATCAGATTTTGATTAGTTACATTTCTTCATAAATGATTATAACTTTTCATGAATGGTTGTAACCCTTCATGAATAATTGTAACTTTTCATTGGTTGTAACTCTTCATGAATAATTGTAACTCTTCATGAATCTGAAATTATCTCTAATACTCTTAAATTCCAACAATCCTCCACCATTTAAGAGTATTGTAACACAATCATCAATTTAATAATTGCAATCTTACACATAAATGAAATTGTACATAGACTTGAACTTTCACTTAGTAGAATACACATTTCAGGAATTCGTATTTTATTGGAGTCGAAACGATTGAACCAACATAATACATAATGAAGTCTTGAAGATACTGTACATATAAGATAAATTACATATTCTTGTTATACTTGACACAATAAGGCCATGCGTCCATATCTATTCATAAGTGCAACAAAGTTATGCCCCATTGACTTCTTGAAGCGGCCAAACTTCGCACTTACATAGGTTGATTTCTTAGGTAAACATGTTTCTGTGACAAAACATAAATTCAAGAAATCAATTAAGAATTAATCAACTTCCTAAGCATCACAGATCTAAAGCACTCTAGAAATAATGATTTGTGCTTTCAATCATCAAATAAGAGATTTAATCTTATTGAACTTAAGACTCAATGTCGGCGTTAAATTAATATTCCTTTAGTGATTAATCGTGAACTCCATTCATATTTCAATTGTCATTCTGAAAATGGAATATTTAATCAATGCTTTAGTAAATCTATCAGCCAAATTATACTTTAAAAATATATAAACTTATATGTAAGAATGATTTTATTTATAAGATAATAATTAATAATATATTTTTTTTTCTTCACCTCTGGACCCTAGTTACTGTATCTGTCAATTTTAAATATAAAATAATTTTTTAATTCTTGTAAATAATTATGATAATGTCATAGGTGAGGGAGGAAAGGTAGTTGACCTGAGAAAAACAAATGACCTTATATAAGGTTTTAATAGTTATGATTTAATTTACTATTCAAAGAAAATAATATAGTGTTTTTTTAAAATTTAGAAAATTAAACCAAATTTTCTTTAATAATTTTATTTTATTTTCTCATCTTTAAAAAAAATAAAGAAGGAAAAATACTTTAGAGTCAAGTCAACTGGCGGCTTGGTGACTAAGGATGAGGATTAGTCAAAGTCATTAAACATTTGGGAAAAGTTTTTTTATCCTCTTTGTTTGAAAACATTTTGACAAATGTGACCGTGATCGGTTAGTTTTAAATATTTTTTTAAAAATAAACTCAAACGAACTTATAAAATAATGATACGTAACATTGTTAGAAGTAAAAGTCTTTTTAACAACTTTTTGATAATCTTTTTATAATGGTTATGTAATAATATATTATTATTAATTCATTTTAAATATATAAATCAATAAAATAGTGTTGTCAAAAATCTGTTCTCAAAATGTTATTAAAAAAAATTATTAAAATTTGATGGTTGTTTTCGTACTTAAATTTGAAATTTATTTGTAATTTCGTTTGAGCTTTATTTTTTCCTTTTTCTGTTGCCCATTTCTTTTTTTTCCAGTTGTCGTGTATGATCTTTTTCCAGTTTGGTTGTAATCCATTCTTTTTTTATTTTATTTGAACTCGGTCAGTATTATTTTTCCTATATATTCTGTTCGGTTACAATTTCAAATACCGGTGGAGTGATGTGGTTACACTAAGTACCTCCGACAAAGAATTCGGAGAACGAATGAGAACGAAAACGAAAGTTTAAGATAGTCAATTCCTTCTATTTCATGTTTTCACAGAATCGGATCCATACATCGGAGAACCGATTTTTTTTTCTTTGCACATTTCAGGAATAATATTATAAAATCATCCATTTCATCTCGAAATCTCTTCTCTTCATCGAAGATGGCATATGCACCTCATCTCACAAATCCACGCTCACCTCTCCACTCATATCACTTAATTCAAACAAGAAGAAAAATTCCAAATCCGTCTTTCACTACTCACTCGTGTTCAGAAAATCCACACAAAATAATGGTATTAGTTTTTCAAAAAATATCACACTAGTATGATTATATAATAAACGAAGGTTTAATCATTCAGGAGGTCCTATTTTCGAGGAGAATCTTAATTTCGTCCTGTTTTTTTTATTTTCAATTGGATCCTAATTTTGGAAAAATTGTAACAATTTGGCCCCTATCGTTAAATTGGACCCAACGGCGTTAGTGTGTGGTTGACGTGGCGCGCTGAAGTCCCTTTCTTAATTGACGTGGCACGCTAGAGTAGAGGCACCTTAATTGACGTGGATTATTGTATTTTTTTAAATACAAAGAAAAGAAAAGTAGGAATTAAATATTTGGATTGGGATTGAGATTGAATTTTGTCGAATTAGGGATTAGGAGAGGTTTCTTCTGACATTGTGGGGTTCTTGTAGGGTTCATGCAAAGTTCAATCAATTTCAGAAATTGGGGTATGAATTTAGGGATTTAGGGTTTAATCGAAGGTGACGTTGAAAGAGAGCGTGCAGTTATCGTCGTGGTCGGAGTTGTGGAACCTTCTTGAGTGACCAGGTCATTAAAAGTTGTTTTTGTATTGATTATTGATTAGAGGGGTCATATGTTGTGTTATTTTTATTGTGATGTTGGGTTGTGGTCCCCGTCGCATTGTGTTCCATTTTTTATTGCGATGTTGTGGTCCTCCATGTTTAAAGTTGTTTTTCTGTGTGTGTCTGAGTGCGTTTTGTTTATGGTGTTAATACATGTTTTGTCGTCATGTGATTGCATTATAGGTGTATAAATACATATATGTTTCTGCTGAATGGGACCGGGAAAAACTCCTGCTACCTCCGCCCGGAAACACTCCTCCTCGTCCGATCGGTCCTTCTCCCTTCGCTCTCCTCGCACTTGTTATCAACGCAAATGGGTTGACCTGCAGCAAACACTCCGACGCTCAAGTCAGAATGGGCTCTTGCAAGGCTATATAATTATCAAAGAGCAGAGAGTTTACCTTCTCCTTTGACTGCTATTTATATGATTTCAGAGAATATTACCCATTAATTTACCTCTTAATGGCTTTCTATGCACACTTTAAATACTCGACAATGACCGTTACCTCATTAACTACACATTCATGAGCATTCAACTGCTGTCTCCAGTCCACAGTTTTATACATCTGCCCGATCGGACACGTTGTGCTAAAGAGTTCCGATCGGACATATCAGGCTGGAACACCCGATCGGACATGTTAGCCTTGCTTCCACCCGCTCGGCCTTGTCCAAACCTTCCCGGTCGGTTGCCCGCCCTCGGTAGTAACAATATATATAGTGTTTTGCATCATGGATGAAGATATTGAGGTTGTCTTTCATCATGGAAGGAAATGATGAGAAGCTTAAATATGAAAGAAACCTCTCCCAATCCTTAATTGGACAAGAT